ATAATCAATTTAATTTATTTTAAAATTCGCAGGATTTTTCAAACTGTTTATGATATCAGTACCCCACTATAAACTGATACCATAAACAATTTGAAAAATACTGCGAATTTTAAAATTAAAATTCGTAGATGAAAATGGTCATTTACTAAATTTGTAAAGTATATATATATATATATATATATATATATACACACACACGTGTGTGTGTGTGTGTGTGTGTGAATATACAGTAATTTTTTTTTTAATCATTTGAGCTGGGTATAGATTTAAGTGTTATTACTTTGACAAGAATTACGTGGTAAGAATTTGAATTATGGTTACCATTAGTTCCGAAGCCTTTTAATATGATATCTAATAATAATTTCCATATTTTTATTAAACATCTGGGCCTGATGAGCGTTAAAAAGAGAAACATTTGAGTCGGTGAATTAGATAATTCAACTGAACTTATGTTGATTCACTGCTTATATATATATATATATATATATATATATATATATATATATATATAACTAATTAAATAGCTTATCGAAAATGAAGGTAACCCTAATTTCGCGAGAAATTTCAGTGTATATTAAAAAAAATGCTTAATAGATGTACACTATATATATATATATATATATATATATATATATATATATATAGTTTAAAATATGATTCCTTCGCTACATAAGGGTTCTCATGTTTCAAAAACGAGAGCCGAAACCATCAAATAATTATTAAAATTTCGTCCGTTTCATCTTCAAGCGAATTTTATATATATATATATATATATATATATATATATATATATATATATATATAAGTATAAAAAAATTTGGCGACTCAAATTTCACCATTAGGTAATAAACCACAAACATATTTTGACGAGAAGATCAGTTGTTTTAGAGTTTCGAGTAAGTTCTATAAGGGGGTAAAAAGTTCTATAAGGGGGGGGTAAAGAAACTTATGCCTCTCAGGTAGGGACTGTTGAAAATGACGAAAGAGTTTGTTTTTTTTTCTCACAGGACAGATTGTAGGCCAAAAGAGGCAGAGAAAAACAATGTATAACTTAGTGTACGTGACTAAACTGATGGCGGATCAAAGTTTAAGGAGAAATAACGCAAAGACAAAATTTATTAAGAGCTACGAAGAACAGCAAGATGTGGAGAGGCGTGAAGGGGCACGGCAGATAGAAAAAGAACTAAGTTGAGTAAATAAATAGCGGAATAAGGTCTAGGAGAAATAACACAAACACAAAATTTATTAAGAACTAGAAGATGTGGCGAGCCATGATCGCCTACGTCCTGATGGGACACGGTACATAGAAGAAACGATATACAGGGCTAACAATTTCTAAAATTATAGGGTTTATGGAGATAGCTAAGTTCGTGTTTTTTTTATATTCCTATATATTTAACTGTGTTAATAATTTGACCCCATTTTTTTTTTAAAGTTTAATGGATCTGACTTCCGGTTTATGAGCTGTGATACGTTTATTTACCTATGTTTTGTGGAGGCTGGTGGTGGTGGTGGTGGTGTTTAATTTTTTGTTTTTCCGAATTTGGCTTTGTTGAGGATAAAGACATGTAGTCACTCTGGCCTAAAATAATGAAAACCTTAGTCGATCACATGTCACACTTTCACAAACCGCTACTGCCCCCCGCGTATTACTTATCCGAAACTTTAAACCACAATACTTATCTAATAAATATAAGATTAATTCCACCAACAAATTTAGATGATAAAAATACATATTTTTAAGTATGTTATATTTGTGATTAAAATTGCTCAATTTCAGTATTAGAACATGAGTAAATATTAAAGGGGGCACTTAGGTCAATACCAAACTATTCCATGTTTGAATGCTATATATATATATATATATATATATATATATATATATATATATATATATATATATATATATATATATATATACACACACACGCGCCATTTTTGAATGATAAACTTCCTATGATTTCTCTCGAACGTTCATATCTGCTCGGACATTCAGGTCGGTAAATGTTGTTAATACTGTTTATTATAAACAAAGCATTTGCTTAAATGTTTGTATCTATAAATTAACGTATGAACAAAAATATATTAAAATAATTGTCTTAGTCCATTTCATAATATATGATGGCATTTATTTACGTTAAGGGATGATTCGAGCAGATATGAGCATTCTAGAGATATCATGGGAAGTTTGTAGTTCACACACACAATATATATATATATATATATATATATATATATATATATAACTAATAAGTGATACAACAAAAGTTAATAAAATGAACACGCAACCATCCCTTGTCTGGATGAATGGATTTCTCTGTATCCTTAGAAACTGTAAATTATTGTGCCTTTAAAACCCAGTAAATTTAAAAATAAGCTACTCTAAAATTATCTTGAGGATGAAATGGAACTAATGTCTTTAATTTAATTACAAAATTAAATTAAATTCTAAGCTTTTAGCTTCCAATTTTGAAACATGGTTAGAACTGTGTAGCGAAAA